GTTTCACTTGGCTTTCTTGGCGTGCACTGCAGATAGGAATGAGTGAGATGATGGTTCATTGCACTAGGGTACGTTGCTAGGTGGGATGAAAATATTCTTAGGAAGAACAATGATGATATGAGTGAAAAAGATGGATAACGGAGAAACCTATTAGCTAGCAAAAAGTACCGGTGTCTCACTTGTACATCTTTATACTACATACTCCTAGTACTAAATGACTTATTGATATGGATTTCTTTCTTCTAGTACGTGTTGGACAATCACAGTAGTGCTCATATGATTACTTTCTTCTAGTACCAACTGACTTATTGATATGAATTTCAGGTATTTAAGGAGACTGTAAATTTGGATGAGCAATATCCAGAGTTGGTTGAACAAGCAAAACTGATATTAAAGAAGTGCGGAGGACTTCCCCTTGCACTTGTCACCATAGGAGGCTTCTTGGCAAGCCAACCAAAAACTGCTTTTGAATGGAGAAAACTGAATGAGCATATCAGTGCTGAGTTGGAGATGAATCCAGAACTTGAGATCATAAAAGCAGTCCTTATGAAAAGCTATGATGGATTACCATATCACCTCAAGGCTTGTTTCTTGTATCTGGCAATCTTTCCTGAAGACTACATTATTGCACGAAGACGCTTAGTGCGGCGGTGGATTGCAGAGGGTTACTCAAGTGAGGTGCGTGGCAAGTCTCTGGAGGAATTATTGGACTCTTACTTCATGGAACTTATAGGCAGGAGCATGATTCTGCCATCTCAACGGTCAATTCATAGTAGGAAAGGAATTGACTCCTGCCATATCCATGATCTCATTCGTGAAATTGCCATCTCAAAGGCTATGGAGGAAAATCTTGTTTTCACGTTGGAGGAAGGTTGCAGCTTGAATAACCAAGGTACAGTGCGTCATCTTGCTGTAAGCAGCAACTGGAAGGGCGATCAGTGTGAGTTTGAGAATATAGTAGATTTATCCAGAGTACGATCGTTGACAGTGTTCGGAAATTGGAGGCCATTTTACATTTCTGATAAGATGAGGTTGTTACGGGTGCTGGATTTGGAAGGCCAGTGGGATCTGCTTGATCATCATCTTGAGCATATTGGGAAGCTTGTACACCTTAGATATCTTTCTATGAGGGGACATAGTGATATATTTCACCTGCCAAATTCATTGGGGAACCTGAGACAACTTCATACACTAGATATTTCAGGTACAAGCATAATAAAGCTACCAAGGACCATCACCAAGCTTGCGAAGATGCAACACATTCTTGCTAGCCTCATAGGATTGAGAAAGAGCCATATATTTGAAGATGCAGATGAGCAGTTGCTAACAACTTTACCTGCATATTCAGCATACTGTTGTGTGGCGTGTTGTGCACCTAATCATCTGGCAAGGAATCTTGTACTTAAGGATGAAGCACAACTTAACAGGCGTGATGTATGCACTGCGTTCTGTTGCAGCATATTACCTTATTATGCGGCAGGAGGACGAAATCCAGGTGGTGTTGAAGTGCCTAGAGGGATTTGGAAGCTGAAAGCCCTGCACACACTGCGTACCGTGGATGTCTCAGTGGGGAAGGCTGTTCTACAAGATATAAAAATGCTCACCCGGTTGCACAAGTTAGGAGTGACAGGCATAAACAAGAGAAACAGTCAAGAGTTATGTTCAGCAATTGGTCGTCTCAGCAGCCTGGAGTCATTGTCACTGCACTCCCACGGATGGAGTACAGGTTTATCAGCCTGCTTGGATGGTCTGTCCTCACCTCCAGCAAACCTGCAGAGCCTCAAGTTGAGAGGCAAGCTGGTTGAGCTGCCGGCGTGGATCCAGGGCCTCAAAAATCTCGTGAAGCTGAAGCTAGTAAAGTCGAGGATATCGGAGCATGATGCGGCCATACAAGTCCTTGGGAATCTACCAAACCTGGCCACCCTACGTCTATTGGGTTACTCGTTCATTGGTGAAGAGGTTCGTTTCAGTTTCTGTCGGGAGGCATTCCCGAGTCTTAAGGTGCTGGAGTTGAATTGCGTATGGAAGCTCAAGTCAGTGGGATTTGAAGAAGGAGCAGCCCCTAAGCTTGAGTTGCTGCAGTATTCTAAACTGATCGGTGACAGTGTTTGGTTTTTCTGTGGGTTACCATGTCTACGAAGTCTCAAGGAATTTACGCTGGATAAGAGGGACTGGGGTGTTACCGGGTTGGTGGATTACTTGCGTAGCCAGCTCGCAGAGAATGAAAACCGGCCCGTTTTGAAGAGGTGGGATCTGTAATCCTAGTTGTATCAAGTAGTATTTCCTTTGATTGAGTCGATGAATCAAGACCACCTACATCTGTAATTAAGCTAGCGGACCTGTATATATATGATGAAAAATGCTCATTTTATCTCACCAACTGCATGCGTGTGTGTAAGCTGTTCCTCTCTTTGCGTGATACTATATGGTAGCAAATGGAAGAATTCGTTGTTTTGGTCATCCGTCGTGACTCTTTGATTTCTGTGTTTGCTTGTGTGATTTCTGTGTTCATTTCCGTTCCGTTGTGACTACTTTTTGCAACGCTGTCACCATGGGATGTTATCGCCACGCAGCAGCAGGAGACGAGATTCGTTTCGATTATTTGGACGGGCCATCCACCACTATATTATATTCTGAGCGGGCCAGAGTAGAAATCCTCGAATCGCATGCCCCGTTTTGATAAGCTACTGCTCCCTCTGTGCCAAAATATAAGAACGTTTTTAACATTACGCTAGTGTCAAAAACGTTATTATATTATGGGACGGAGGGAGTATTATTTCTCTTCTCCATGTTTCTATTTTTAAAACAAAACCCTCCTCTCCAGTATGGCATTTTTGGCTCATATATATGCTCCTGCGATGAATACTAAACTAAAAAAAATCAGTAAAACAAACTGAATTTTTTGGCCAAAAGATGCCAAGTTTTGCTCGGCTCATCTGCTCCTGCAATGAAAATTCGAAACAAATAGGAAAAACTAAAAAACATCTGGATTTGTTTTTGGAAAAAAAGGAGTTTGAGTTTTCAAGGTGCCCACAAAATCTGATGGCGAAATGACAGCAGGGGAGCTATAAAACACAAAATCAGAGCTAAAAATTGTTTAAAAAAATCAGGTTTTTGATCAATGATTTTTTTAGCACTTCCATTTGACTTGGATATATGTGTATCATTTTTCCTGGCAGAAGAATATATTCATATATATGTATGGTTTCAGTTTTTTTTTCTTTGCTTTCAGGTTGGCACAGTCAGCATTATTTATTATTTATTGATGGAGGTGAGGAAAAGATTTCCTGTGGGTTTCACTGACCACTCTTCATCTGCACAACCATAAGACGTGGCGGCAGCTGATTTGATCATGGTTTGACACAGCCGGATCTCCAACATCAAGCCCCTTCTTTTGCCTTTGCTCCCAAGTCCACCAAGATCGCATTTGTCTACGGTGGAATGCTCTGCCTACCATGCCTCAGTTTCCTTCTCTGTTAGTTTGTCGCACAACATTTCAGGAAAATATTCGATCAACCTATCAAAGATCAGCGAGGTGTCAATATGTAACAGCATCACCATGAGAAGGAAACTGAAGCAATGCGGGTCGTGATTGGATAACCTACATTTGTACATGTTTGATTCTGTCTGATTTATATACCTCCTCACTGTCTTCTTTATATGAATTATGACTCTGTGTGTGATCTGCCTGTGAGTTGGAATATATATTTATCCACTTCTGTTTTTGAGAAAGAGAGAATATGTTGGAACGCTTTTGTGTGGCTCCAAAGGATGGTCTCCAGATGTGACCTTTATTATATTATATACATATCTCCTGAAGTGTGGTTTCAGTGAGAGCAAGCATTAATTTGTAAGATTAAACCAGCGTGCATTGTTCAAGAAGCAAAGATGCATATAAGTATGGTCAGCTTACTTGTAATTCTCCCCCAGTGAAGAAGAGGCATTTCCATTCCCCAAGCCTAGTTTGCAAAACATGTGCTTTTTACATTATTACAATAATAAAAAAGAAGAAGAAGTGCACGGTTTACAAGGCCAGGCCATTTTACAAGACCAGCCCAACAAGGACCCAAGCCCATTTTGCAGATGGACGTACTCATCTTCTCTTTCTTTCTCTGGAGCCCAACGGTCGTACTACCTTCCCCTAAGCCTCAGCCGCCGGCGATTCTTGCCTCCGCCGTTGCAACTTGCAAGTGCAGTCGAATCCAATCCCTCCCCCAAACTAGTCAACCGAAAGAATCCAATCTCTCCCTTTACCCAATCGCCAAGGAAGGCAAAGCCACCATGATGCAACAAGAAAAGAAAAGAAGCTTCTTTGTTCTTTCGCCCCTCCTCTTCTCTTCTTTGGAGGACGTACGGAGGCCGCGGCAAGAAGAAACGAAGAATCTCACTCCATCTCCATGGCCCGGCTTTATCTCCAATCATTTCCTTTCTCCACCGCGCTTCATTCCCCCACCTGACGCTTGGTCCCGGTAATTTTTTCTCTTTTGTCTATCTTAATCTGCTCTGCTTGGTGGTGGATCTTTCATCGTTTGTGATTCGGCCGGCAGATCTATCAAGTTTGGTCGTTTTGGAGGGAGACCACTGTGCTAAGGCTGCCTTCACCGTCTTGGATTTCACAACAACACCTTCATCTTGGTTGCGGCCGTGTCGTCGGCAACACCAGGTATGCTGCTCTGTTTCCTATGTGCTTTTACCTCCCAAGATTTAGCTCAAGCGCAGACATTAGCATCGAGTGATCCAATTCATCTTGCTTGCAGTACAGCCTCCATCAGTCACAACCAATTGAACCATCCACACAAACATCCAGTTAATGGAGGCAACGGTCATCAGCATTGGCAGATCTTTCATACTTTGTGACTTGTAAATCATCTCTCTGATTCGGCCGACAGATCTCTCAAGTTTGCTCGTCTTGGAGGGACAACGCTGGTGTTGAGGCTGAGGGCTCCGAGGCTGTGTTCACCATCTTGGATTTCACAGCCACAACCTTCATCTTGGTCGCCCCCCGTGGTGTCGACACACCAGGTATGCTGCTCTGTTTCCTCCGTTGTTATTCATCTCTTCAGATTTAGCTCAAGCACAGACGCTTACACCCAGTATCATCGGTTTGCAGTACACAACCTATTGACCCACACAAACATTCACTAAATGGAGGCGACGGCCATCAGCGTTGGCAAGTCCGTGTTGAGCGGGGCGCTCAACTACACCCAGTCAGCTGTCGCCGAGGAAGTTGCTTTGCAGCTTGGTGTCCAGCGTGACCACTCCTTCATCTCGGACGAGCTCGAGATGATGCAGTCATTCCTGATGGCTGCTCACGATGAGAGAGACGACAATTGGGTGGTCAGGACTTGGGTGAAACAAGTCCGTGACGTCTCCTACTCTGTCGAGGACTGCCTCCTGGATTTTGCTGTCCGTCTCGAGAAGCAATCCTGGTGCTGTCTCTCTCGCAAGGTGCTGGCCCGCCGTTATGTGGCGATGCAGATGAAGGAGCTCAGAGACAAGGTTGAGGAGGTCAGCCAGAGGAGCCAACGGTACCACCTCATCAAGGGCTCTAGCTCCAAGCCTACCTCCGCTGTTGGGCAGCATATCATGTCCAGCACGACGATGTCTGCCGCCGATGATGCAAGGCTGCAGCAGCATAAAGCAAAAACGGATCTCGTCGAGCTGATCAATTGCAAGGATGATGCACTTCGAGTGATGGTGTTGTGGGGCACAAGTAGTAGTGATCTGGGGGAGATATCCATCCTGAAAAGTGCCTATGAAGACCCCATGATACACAAGAATTTTGATTGTTGTGCTTGGATCACATTGATGTGTCCTTTCAATCAGGCAGATTCGATTCAAAGCATTGTTAGCCAAATCTGTGTTAATTCTCTTCAAGACTCTGGAGAGGAAGGTAAAACAACTATTGGGGCCCAAGTTCTTAAGATGATGGCAACAACGATGGAAGATGCTTTGGCTCATGAGTTTAAGAGATATTTGAATGACAAGAGTTACTTAATTGTACTCAACGACATACACACCATTGAAGAGTGGGGTCGCATTAAAACATGTTTCCCAGACAACAAGAAAGGAAGCCGAGTCATAGTTTTCACTAAGCAAGTTGCAGTTGCAAGCTTATGCATGGGAGCAGAGGATGAAACTCTAGTGCATAAGAAGTTATTTGCTGATAAGCCTCTTTATGCTTTCTACCAGAAGGTAATTTTTGAAGTCCTCGTGTTGCTATTTTTGTTTAATATCTCAACTACTCCCTCCGTCCCATAATATAAGAGCGTTTTTTACACTAGTGTAGTATGAAAAACGCTTTTATATTATGGATGGAGGGAATAATAGTTAACATAATTAACTAGACTTGCACCTGTGCTATCATGAAAGCTGTAGGTTATTAGCCTTTCCACATGCTTTAATTACAAAATAAATATGTAGTTTTCCTCTTTTTCATGAGAAAAGACCTGTAGGATTTATACACCTTTCACTTCTGCTGAAACCGAGGTAGTGTGATATATTGTAAGTAAGGTCTATGTGCAAAATTAACTCAATTTGAAGTTTCTACTTTGTATTTTACGAGTAAACTTATCTTCTTTTTTTGTATCATACTATTTTGTTTGATATTTTCCATATTGAACTATTGTGCCTGCATCATATCAAACAACTTACCTACATGTATGTGTGTGTACTCCCAACAAACTTTATTTCCTTTGTTGTCCTACCGAACAAACTGCATGATTGGTTAGAGATTTTCAAATCATTTAAGAGAAGAAGTGTTATGTAGAAAATTACAAAAAAAACTTAAAAGTTGAGAAAATATTATCTTGTGGAAACGAAGGCAACACCTCAACAATAATTGTATGCTCATGCTTAGGTCTCTCAAGAGGGAAGGAAATCGGCGGAGAAAGGATCCACCTCATATGTAGCCTCTACAGGTCTTCACAGCTCCGCGGACAAGAACATCCTCACTCGCATGGAGACAATGGCTACTCTAGAGGAATCTCGTCTCATAGGGAGAGGGAATGAAAAAGAGGAAATCATCAAACTAATCTCAAATAAAGATCTCCAGCAATTTCATGTGATCTCCTTGTGGGGAATGGGTGGTATTGGAAAAACAACACTGGTGAGAGATATCTATCAAAGCCAAGAGATTAGTAGCTGGTTTGATAAGCGTGCTTGTGAGACAGTCATGCGTCCTTTCAATCCAACAACACTCCCTAGGAGCTTAGCTGTGCAACTCGGAGGTAAAAATGAGATAGATTTAAGGAGATGTTTGGAAGGAAGAAGATATTTGCTTGTTCTTGATGATCTGTGGTTAATAGTAGAGTGGGATGCTATAAAAGAACATTTGCCAGAAACGGCAGCAAGCCGCATAATAATCACAACAAGGGATGAGAATATTGCCAAGCTCTGCTCAAAGGATGATATAAATATATACAAGCTGAACCATCTGGGCCCTGATGATGCATGTACCCTCTTCACCAAAAAGGTAAAAATGAAGTAGTGTCATGCTCAATTAGTTGTTCTGTTAATCCTGCCCCTCTTATTGCTATTATTGCTTTAAATTTTCACGTGTAACAGAATTATAAAATCAAATTGTCCACTAGAAAATTCGAATTGCCATTTGTTAGAAATCTTACGCAATAGCTAGAATGATACATATAAATACAAAGGACTACAAATTACATAAAGTATGATTACAATAAGGTGGAGACATGATTATCTGTGTAAGTTTACTCTAGACAAATAATTTGTGGAATTTGTAGCTGTCAAAGTGAAGTAGGGTATCCCTGATTCGCGATCGAACCACAAAGATGTCAGTAGAGGCATAAATATAGGTTCAACATATTTTACAAGATACAAAGGGGTGTGTATAGGAAAAAAATTCCTCGTTATTTAAGTTATTGCATGATGACCTTTCTCTTGTGGATTTATCGATTTGACATTTTCTTGTGGCTTACAACTCAAATATATCATCTAAAAGATTGGCATGCTTCGTTATGTGGGATAATTTTTCTTGCATTTTGGAGAAATTAAGATGTTTCATATGAAGCTCGTTTAAAATTAATGCGCTATAAACATAGCTCTAGGAAAGGTAAGGCAAGTTTTGTGTCCTGCAAATGTGGTTGATGAATATAGAGAGAATACACCAAGTCATATGAGTTGCTACCTTTATATTTTCTCAAATCAGTTTGATTATTGCATTTATTTTTATATACAAAAGTTTGGTTTCCAAGGAGTTTCTGGTGGTTATATATTTTTTAGTGGTAATGCTAGACGCACGGACGGGCCTATTACGGGATTTACGGCATAGCAGACATGGGCGATCGGGATTGGAGAAGAGGGAGCATGGGCCCCACCCCCGCTGAAAATCAGGGGGTGGGGGGGGAGATCAGTTTAGAAAAAAATCACGTAAAATCCCGTAACAGGCCCATGAGTCTAGGATTATTGATTTTTTAGATAGTACATATGTTGTTTTGTCTTTATATCGATGAAAGCCCCAGCGGCATAGTAGGATTGCACGAAGTAACCCCCTAAATTGGTCTAGGGACGCAGCCTCATACCGTACATCAGGAATGATACACAACAATCTACAAGTGCCACCACAACGGATAACTTTTGAGCAAGCCACCACAAGCAACAAACTACTACAACATAGCACTAGAATCTAGAAAACATAAAAAACAACCGCTAATGGGTTGTGTTGCAAGGTCTCCCTGATGTTGTCTTGCTGCAAGTTGGAGCTTCCGAAGCCTAGCTACACCCATGAAGCATTGATAAGGTGCAAGGAGAATTGCTGGTGCCAAGGGCCATGTGAGTGAAGCATCGTGAAGCCTGTTAAAAAAGCAGTGCAGAGCCGCCCGAGATATTTGTTCGCCGAGTTAATAGCTACCTATCACCATAGAAAAGCCCTTGCCTCCCAGCGCTTCAGGCCACCAAGCACAGCACATCATACCATAGCCAGACGACAACCACCTTGCAGCCTACAGTACACTTCAGCCACCACACCACACAACCACCGATGAGGAGAGGCTCTGAAGCAGCAAGGCGGCGTCTTCAAGAAGAAGGAGGTGTGCCACCACTTCTCGACCTAGAAGACTCGGGCTTGGGGTTTCACTCTCTGCCCAGCAGCATGGCCAACAAAGGATGATGCCAAGATGCTAGCAGCAAAAGATAATCTGGAAAGCTTGGAGTATCCAATGGACATGCACAGTGAGCAGGCAAGCAGGCGGCAGTTGCCCTGGTGAACTTCCATGCTCCTGGAGACGATGCCGACACATCAGCGACCCCCTGCTGCAAAGGAGGGCCACTATCAACTACACTTTTTCACTCTCATTCCCCCTCAGGTGCCAGCCTGGCCTGACCACAAAAAACGCACAGCCGCATCGCCCTCTTGAGCCAACGCCTCACACCCGCCCCTCCGCCCTCAAGGCTAGACCGACCGGAGATCACCACTGCAGCACGCCCCGTTGAATGCGCTACAAGCTCACCACCAAGGGCCGTTGCCTCGTTGCCCAATGCCCTGCCACACCCCTCCCTGGTTTACCAGATCTAAAAAGATCCGGATCCAGGGGCAGGAGTGTTAGCATCTTAATCTTCTACTTAGTTTTATTTCCATTTCTTTATAAGGTGGAGCATCAGTTAACTGTGTAAGCCCTGCTTCTCCCTCTCAAGCCTAGTCATCTTTCTCCTGTATTGAATAGCAGGTGAGGGAGAGGCATGGGTGTGATGTGTGAAATAGGAGGCACCAGATGTGGCAGACTCCATGTGCATACCTCCACAGCTTGCTGCTGGAGGAGTTGCTACTATGAGAAAAATAGCAAAGGAAGGCAACCCAATTGAAAGGGGGTTGGAAATAGCTGGTGCTTGCATGCTCTGTTCTTAGCCGTCCAGTGCCTGCAACCTGCTTGTTGTATTGTTTCTTCCGCTGTGTCCACCAAAATCAAGTCTGCTGCTGTGTCCACCGGCAAAGGGAGGATGAGGGAGACTCGGTGTCCATCATGGAGAACACAATGCGACAACAGGTGGGGGAGAGGTGTAGAATGGAACCCTAAACCTAGTGGAGCGAGTCTGACCTGAGTCGCCCACATTAAAGTGGGAGCAACGCAGGGACCGAATTGTTCTCTAAAAAATCCAATAGTTCACATTTTATTGGGTATTTTGTTGTTATGGTGCTCTCCTTGAATTCCTCTACAATTATTCTATGCACATGCATAAAAAAACTCCGCTGGATGAGTCATTAAGGTGTTAAGACTGAGGAGCCATATTATTTTCTAATAGGAGCACCGTAAAAGAGCTGCTCATGTAGTAACCACATTCAGGTGTTATTATTATGACAAATATGCACCATTAACTAAGAGGCCCAATCATATCAAGTTCCTACTTTTGTAGCAATGTGAGGTAATTGATATCCAATGAAATCAGTAGCAAGAATACAATTAGCACCGAGGCGAGGTGTAGCTGTAGAAATTAGAAGCATGATGGGAAATGAAATTGTTTTGATTTGCATTTTTGTGTGGAATGCAGGTAAGAATGAGCGAGACGTTAGGTTATTATACTATGGGCATGTTGCTAGGTGGGAGAAAAATCTTTTTATGAACAGAAATGAAGATATACTGAATAAAAAAATGATGTAGAAACTTATTATCCAACAAAAAGTAGCATTGTCTCACTTTAACATCTTTGTAGTACATATTCCCATATAAAAAAATGTGTTACACAGTGGTGCATATTTGCTTTCTTTCTTGTTGTACTAAATGACTTGATTGATATGGATTTCAGGTATTTAAGGAGGCTGTAAGTTTGGATGAGCGACATCCAGAGTTGGTTGAACCAACAAAACTGATATTGAAGAAGTGCAGAGGGCTTCCCCTTGAACTAGTCATCATAGGTGGCTTCTGAGCAAACCAACCAAAAACTGCTTTTGAATGGAAAAAAATGAATGAGCATATCAGTGCTGAGTTGGAGATGAATCCAGAACTTGAGACCATAAAAGCAATATTCATGAAAAGCTATGATGGTTTACCCTATTACCTCAAGGCTTGTTTCTTGTATCTGGCCATCTTTCCCGAAGACCAGCAGATTGCATGGAGACGCTTAGTGCGTCGTTGGATTGCAGAGGGTTACTCAAGTGAGATGCGTGGCAGGTCTGTAGAGGAAGTATTGGAGTCTTACTTCATGGAACTCATAAGCAGGAGCATGATCCTGCCATCTCAATAGTCAATTCATAGTAGGAAAGGAATTGACTCCTGCCATGTCCATGATCTCATTCGTGAAATTGCCATCTCAAAGTCTATGGAGGAAAATCTGGTTTTCACATTGGAGGAAGGGTGCAGCTTAAATAACCGAGGCACAGTGCGTCATCTTGCTATAAGCAGCAATTGGAATGGGGATCAGTGTGAGTTAGAGAATATACTAGACTTGTCCCGTGTACGCTCACTGACAGTGTTTGGAAATTGGAGGCCATTTTACATTTCTGATAAGATGAGGTTGCTACGAGTGCTGGATTTGGAAGGCAAGTGGGATCTAGTTGATCATCACCTTCAGCACATTGGCAAGCTTGTACATCTTAGATATGTTTCGCTAAGGGGACAAGCTTCCATATTTCACCTGCCAAATTCGCTGGGGAACCTGAGGTAGCTCCACACATTAGATATTTCAGGTACAAGCATAATAAAACTACCAAGTTCCATCATCAATCTTGAGAAGATGGAACACATTCTTGCTAGTGGCACAGCAAATGCAATGAGCCATACAAATGCAGATAATCAGTCGCTGTTGGATTTCACTTTAGATTCAGTGTCATGTTGTGTGGCATGTTGTGCACCTAGGATTGTAAAAAATAATCTCTATCTTGATGATGGTGCACAACTTAACAAGCGTGATATATGCACTGTGTTCTGCTGCAACATATTACCTTATTATGTGGCAGGACGAAATCCAGGTGGTGTTGAAGTGCCAAAGGGAATCTGGAAACTGAAGGCCCTGCACACACTGCATATTGTGGACGTCTCAATGAGGAAGGCTGTTACCCAAGATATAAAAAAGCTCACCCGGTTGCGCAAGTTAGGAGTGACAGGCATCAACAAGAGAAACAGTCAGGAGTTGTGTCCAGCAATTGCATGTCTCAGCAGCCTGGAGTCCTTATCACTGCGGTCACACGAAGCGACAGGTTTATCCAGCTGCTTGGATGGGCTGCCCTCACCTCCAGAAAACCTGCAGAGCCTCAAGTTGTTAGGCAACCTGGTTAAACTGCCGGAGTGGATCCAGGGCCTCAAAAATCTCGTGAAGCTGAAGCTAGAGGAGTCGAGGATATCGGAGCATGATGCGGCCATACAAGTCCTTGGGAACCTACCAAACCTGGCCACCCTACGTCTATTGGTTGGCTCGTTTGCTGGTGAAGAGGTCCGTTTAAGTTTTCGTCGGGAGGCATTCCTGAGTCTGAAGGTGCTGCAGCTGGATTGGATTGAAAACCTCAAGTCGGTGGGATTTAAAGAAGGAGCAGCCCCTAAACTAGAGTTGCTACAGTATACTGGTTGGATCGGTACCAATGTTGTTGGGTTGTTTAGTGGGTTAGCATATCTCCCAAGCCTCAAGGAATTTATGCTGTCTAGGAGGCACTGGGAGAAGACTGAGTGCGTGGAGCACTTGCGAGGCCAGCTGGGAGAGAATCAAAACAGGCCCGTTTTGAAGAGCTTGTAGCTAGCTGTACCCAACTCCCCTTGTTTCTTGTATCTTAGTGTTCAAGTATTATTACGTCCCTCCATTATACTACAGTATTATCTTAGTATACCGCCTACAAAGGGTGATTTTATATTACAAACCTCTGCTCTGCACTGCCAAGATCCTTAGGCCGGAACACGGAACACCTCAGTCCACCTCTGAAACCACTGACGAATACGAAAACTGCACAATCCTCGAGACATCCAAACAACCTCGACAGCGATGGCTGATCAAGGAATTCTCTGCCTACCATTCATTCGTCGGTTTGCTTCTATATTACTGTCAGATTTCTTCGATTTTCTTTCTTTCGCGATCGGTGTAACAGCAATCACGTTATCCAGTTACTAGTACTACACCAGATGGTATATTTAGTCAAGTATAGGTAGCCAATGGTAACAGCACGCACCAAAGAATCAAGGTTAATTGGTAACCGCATGACTAGTACCACAACCCAAAAACTGGTAGGAAATATTTCTTTCACGTATAACTGACTGTCCGTTCCTTGAATGCATTCTCTCCCAGTGTAAACTTCGATGGTACATTAGTACCTACAAATTTCCTGTGACATCATTTGTGAACAGAGCAGAAACCATGTTTGGGCAAAGTATATATGTGTTGTCGTGCTTCCATTTACCAACAACATTCAATCATTCATGTGCCAAGAATTCTGTGACACTTGATTTAGGCATTTCTTGTTCCAAATAGAAACAGTGTACCAAGTATATCTCTCCTTGGGTATGGTTTCAGTCAGAGACTCGAAGCAAAGCATTTACAGAACCTGCTGGAACACTCATGGTTATCTTGGACATGCTGTCCAGTATATATTTACCTCCAGCTAGCCCTGCGATGATGTGTTGGGCCAATTCTGTAATAAGTGTCTGGAAGGTAAAAGCATATATGGTTGAACATTGTTCCGAGAAAAAAAAGAAGTATATATAATCCCGTTCGTTGCGACCAAAGTGAGCAGCACCAACCTATCTGCAGTTGTCAACTACACGCCGATTGTATAGAATTCTCTGGCTGTGACCTTTATATATCTCCATCAGTATGTTCCAGTCAGAGCAATCATATACAAGACCTGAATCACATATGCTTGTGTGCTTTGTCAGTGCATATATGTGGAGCTGCATCTTGGACTAGGTGGTCTCAGTTAGATTTACCTCCAGCTCACCTTGCGATAGCGTCATATGGCTAGTGTGCCCCACTTGGCCACTTCCCAATCCCCAAATCGATACAAACACATGCATGTACTCCCTCCGTACATGCGGAGCAAAATGAATGAATCTACGCTCTAAAATATGTGTATATACATCCGTATGTTGTAGTCCATTTGAAATGTCTAAAAACCCTTATATTTAGGAACGGAGGTAGTCGCATATAGGACAACAACGGCGGACGGGTGACGAACGGCATATATAGGACAACAAAAGACAACAGTTAAACTAAGTATAGGGGATAGTTCATCGTGAATTCAAAAAATAATAACATTAAAAAATGTTCACACATTCAGAAAATGTATGTGAAATTATAAAAAACTGTTAGTGCAATTTTAAAAAATATTTATAACATTCAAAATTTGTTGATGTGCTTCAAAAAATGTGCGTGACATTTTTTTGAAAAACTATTGTTATACAATGGTAGAAAATGTTCGCATAATTAAAAAAAATGTTTCCTACCATTTAAAGAAAATGTTACCTGGCATTTAGAAAAAATGTTCCACGTTCCAAAATATATACTTGTGACATTTAGGAAGATGTTTATAAAATGTAAAGAAATATTGGCTTAGTTTTACAAAATGTTTGGTATTTTATTGTAAAAAGAATGTTCAACGTGTATTTGAAAAATGTATGTATTAAGAAAAAGGTCAAAACATGTATTTGAATAACATGTTAATAATGTATTTGAAAAAAGTTCAACGTGTATAAAAAAATGTGTTCCGGATAAATAGAGAGAACTTACAACATGTATTTGGAAAAATATCTAAAAACATTTATTTGTAAAAATGATAATTATGTATTTGAAAAATACTAAACGTGTAAAAATATATTTCGGGTGTATATGAAAAATGTAAACTGTGTTGAAAAAAAGTAGACATATCAAAACATACATTTGGAAAAATGTTAGTCACGTACTTACAAAATGTTCAGTGTGTACCAAAAAAAAAATGTTTGAGTGTATACAGCCTTGTTGCTCTTGCTCCAAAAGTCTAACCCGTTTCCTTTCTTTTGTCGCCGCACGCGCGGAAGCTTCTTACTCCTGGTCAAAGTCTAACCCATTTCCTTTCTTCCTCGCAGGTCGCTCGCAGCAGGCGAAGCGGCCAACAACCCTCCCGGCTCCCACTCCTGGCAGGTTTCAGGCGGAGGGAGAAGACCTCACCTACCACTTCCGGCGCTGCGCGTTCTCATCCCTCCTGTTTCACGCGCTGCCGCCGGCTCTGCACGTTCGGAAGGTGACGCCGCCATCTCTGCTTGTTCCGGCTTCCTCAGCGCTGACGCTGTTGGTTGATTCGCTTCTGCACCTCCTCCGATCCCCACGCACCCATAAAGGTACTTTCCTTTCCTCCTGCTTAGTCGAACAGTTATTTAGATCGGATTGTATGAGTCAATCAAGCTCATTTTTCATATTCATGGTTATTCTGATGTTTCTCATGGTTGTTTGGGCCGTGTATGACTTGATCTGCTTTCCTTTATTTATCTGAATTTTGTTTCTTCTGGATGACTGATCACAACTGTTGCCGATACCCAATATGATCCAGTTGGGCTTAACTCATAAAGTCTATCAGTCAACATTTTCTACTCGTGGGTCACTGTTTGTGCAAGTATATGCTACAAGTATGCAAGTCTGGTGCCTGTACAAATGCATGCTCAAAGCTCTCGGTTTGAAGTATGTGCTTACCTGCTAGTAAATTACCAAGGGTACATATATGTTCCTTGCTCCCAGACACGGCCTTATAGTTTCAGGGATGTTGCGAGCTTCTGTGAGATAGTGAATACTGGATTTTCCTTCTAAAGGGTGATAAATTTATTCTCATATGTAATTTATCCTTGGATGAATTGGTACTTATGATGTTCATTAATTCTGCTCATTAAGGTTTTCAATTAATAAGATACAATATGGCTGGGGCTAGCACAGGTGCAGCAACCAAGGAGATGGAGGCATTCCATGTTGATGTTGCTGCAAAAGTACCTTTTTGCCTTGAACTAGCTGTGAATGTTTTACCTCGCCATATCTTGCATTGCATGCATGGTTGCTTTGGCATATTTCATACTACTTATGTTGCTCCTAGAGAAAATGTTGGGGATGAACAAGAACCATACATACTATTATTGACCCATACTACATACTATTCTGCAAAGCAGAATTGGTAATCACGACAAGCCAACAACTACCTCCCCAACACAAAAAAAGTCAACACAACTACCCGTTGTTTCTTGTCATAATTGTTTTTTTTACATTACCCCATTGGAAAACTTGGTCGCATTGTGTTCGTACTTTGTCTCTATCTGTTTCTGTAGCTTGTCCCCTGAATTCCTCTCATAGTTTAATTCAGAGCCTTTCACTAGATGACATGGCTAGCCTTTCCATAATCCAGTTAGAAAGTGATATGTGATGGAAATACTCCTACAACAGATGGAAACTACTGTGGTTACATGCCATCTTCTCTTGAATGATCGTTGCACTGCTATATATGGTAAATAAGGGCAACTCTAGCAGAACCCTCAAAAGGGTATAACTCCTCAAAATTTCTCCTCTTGAGGAGTTAAATCTGACCTAGTCGAACCCTCGACTGGTTTAACTCCTCAAAAAATTAAAGCGGTGTGTGGACCTCACCACAAATATGAGCGGCCCCAGCCACTTCTTAGCAAACAAGTCGCCACCCCCCCTACAACCGCCACTCTCCCCCAATGACCAGCATTCACGTCGGCGCCATCCTCCTTGCTTTCGCTAGCCACCAAGCGCCCCCTGCCCACATCCCGTCCCACGCAAATTCCCTCATCGGTCGCCTCCGTCGCCAGAATCGATGAATCTAGCCTCTAGCCGCCGTCGCCAAAATCAATGATCAAGTTGCAACCTGGCCTCATCTCAGTTGAATCAACAAGAAGGGCCACCACCGAATCTGCCCGGCTGCCTCGAGCACCGCCGCACCTGCCCCGCTCAAGATCCATGTCTTAGTTGCCATTGCCACTGCCGAATAAGAAGAAGAAGCAGTGCCGTGTGCGTGATCGGGTGTGGGGTACTTGGGTGGCAGATATCCGCAATTCATACATGCAAGAGAGGTATTGGCTTGACACTTTCCAGTCCATGGAGTAGGCTGCTCATGCGTACGAGGTGGCAGCGCCGTGCTTGTTCGGATGCCGGGAAAAGGTTAATTTCCCCCTCGGCAGTCGTAGCGCCCCGAACTTCCGGGAGCCTCAGTTGGTCTCCCATCGCGAGGAGAAAGAGACTTGTGATGCATCGAGCAGATCAAGGCCGAGCAAATCGATGAGGCCTATCTATCCGAGATTAGAGCGAAGCATCCAAAGCTCGTCACCGAGGAACAAGCGTTCTACAAGGCCTATAAGAAGCGTGGTATCCTCCATTGCCACGGGGATGATCGATATTTCCTTTGGCTCCTCTGACTCCGGCTACTCGGAGGTGAACTGGGATGAGCTCATGGAGGATTCCCAGTAGTTTTAAGTGTGCTTTGTAGTTTTAAGTAGTTGTATGTTGTCTGAACCATATAATTATGCTATGTATGATGTGCTACCTTTGTTTCATTACGTAATTGAGTAGTTTGAAATGAAATTGTATGCAAATGTTTTTAGGGAGTTAAGTTTAGGAGTTCGGCTAGGATCCTAGGAACCACCTTTTCTCAACTCATCAAAATTGGGGAGTTAAGGTTTGAGGAGGCTTTTGAGGGTCTAAATTCTTGTGTTCGGCTAGAGATGCCCTAAGCTTCCTATTTTTGCTACAGGACACTCTGGAAAAGGCATCTAGTATAGAGTCGGATGCAACCTCGTCAAAAGAAATCAAGGTTGCATATATTAGTGGTGGGACTCCCGGAGCTCAGCCCTCACCACCAAAACACGATGATGATGCGCAAGTGGATGGTCCTTCTGAAGATGACGCAGCAGGTGACTACATATCAAATTCTCATTTCCGAGTTTTTCAATTAGAGCTGGACCAGTGGATCTTCGACAATTATTGCTAGCATTTAGAAACTGGGATATCAATCATGTGATTATTCTAACTGTTCGTCTCGAATGGATAGCTTCCGTGGCTGCAAAGAAGAAAAAGAAGAAAAGCAAGGCCAAGTGAGAGTTCTATCATTCAATTGAATAATTAACGTTCTTGTTTGGTTTGCTCCATTTTAAGAGCATATCACATGTTTTATGTAGAAAGAAGAAGGACCCTCTTCAACAGACAGATCCTCCGTCAGTCCCTGTTGATGAGCTTTTCCCTTCAGGCGACTTTCCTGAGGGTGAAATCCAGAAATACAAGGATGAGTAAGTATTAGTCTATTTCAATTTTTGTGGTAATGAAGTTTTAAATGATCGAAGTATGGTGTTTTTTAACTTCATAAAACAGGCCAAGGTCAAAATTGCATGTGTGATCTTAACTTTTGAAAATGATGCAAAATACTATTGTGTTTCATTTATTGCTAATGAAGCACTCTGCAAAATCATATTATCTTGTCTTCTTAATTTAATGATGTTATTTCTTTTCAGTAATTTATATAGAACAACTAGTGAAGAAAAGAGAGAAGAGGAACGACTACAAAAACCGATGTATAATTCTATTCGTCGGGCTGCAGAAGTTCATCGACAGGTTTAGAATGTTCAAGCATTGTTGGGTTTTGGCAGCTTCATTTTCTTTGTGTTGTTGGTTACAACTCTACGATGTATGATATTTTACAAGGTGCGGAAATACATGAGGAGCATTGTGAAGCCTGGAATGCTAATGATTGAACTATGCGAAACTTTGGAAAACTTGGTTCGGAAACTTATCAAGGAGAATGGACTACAAGCGGGTATTGCCTTTCCAACAGGATGCTCCTTGAATTGGTATGGTATTCCTCTAGATGCGATCTATAGTACTGCTTCCCCTTCTTACAATAACGAATTTGTTTGGTGCTTAGGGTTGCAGCTCACTGGACTCCGAATTCTGGTGATAAAACTGTACTACAATATGATGATGTGATGAAGCTAGATTTGGGGACACATATAGATGGTATGTCTATTTTATTATTTCGTTCGGTCCTTTCTTCAATGATTTTTAATGTATATTTGTGTTTTTTGTCCTTGCAAAGTTGCAAGTATGAATTCATGATATTTATGCTTTCAAAAATTAACACGATAGTGTAACTATTCCCAGGCCACATAGTTGATTCGGCATTTACTGTCGCTTTTAATCCCATGTTTAATCCGTTGCTTCAAGCAACGAGAGATGCCACAAATACTGGAATCAAGGTAATTTCTATGCATTTTGTTTACTCTTATAAGGCTACGGTATATTTTAAGTCAATGGACTCGGATATTACCGACTGAATGCTTCCCATAAGCACCTTTGCCCATAGTATTTCTAATAGTTGTTGTTAGACTTCTGCTTTTGATTACTGGATTGTAGTCTATTCAGCATGCTGTCTTCTTTCTAGTTGTTTATGTATAGAGATTTGTTTGGGTTGAATCTGAGTTTTTTTCCCCTCTGTTAATGATCTGATACTTGAAATCACATTCCCTTAAATCATGTCTATTGTTTTTATTTAATATTATTTATTTATCATTCATTTCAGGAAGCTGGAATAGATGCACGGCTTTGTGACATTGGCGCTGCAATCCAAGAAGTCATGGAGTCATATGAGGTTGAAATTAATGGGAAAATTTTCCAAGGTGTGTATAGTTTTTTTTTTCATTTAGTGCCATTGGAATTATATGGTGACAAGAATGAAAATAGAAATGACTTCTTTGTTTTGTGTCAGTAAAAAGTGTACGAAACCTCAATGGACATGGCATTGGACCATACCAAATCCATTATGGGAAATCAGTTCCAATTGTAAAAGGCGGAGAGCAAACAAAAATGGAGGAGGGTGAATTTTATGCCATTGAAACTTTTGGGTCCACAGGTACGGCACAATATAGCTTGAACTTATATGCCCAAATACATTAGAAAGTCATTTTAATCGGATTACTAATAGTTTTAAAATCCTTTCTATAGTACCTAACTATCACAGCCTTCTTGGTTGAACAACCGATATCCGTTTTCCCTACTTTGGTGCATGTTCATGTTTTTGAACAGACTTAATTACATTTCACAAGCGTAACTCTGTTTGCAGGAAAGGGATTTGTGAGGGAGGACCTGGAATGCAGTCATTACATGAAGAACTTTGATGTTGGCCACGTGCCATTGAGGGTAGCAAAGGCTAGGCAACTACTCACGACAATCAACAACAACTTTGGAACCCTTACATTTTGCCGCCGATACCTGGACCGCATTGGTGAGACCAAATATCTAATGGCACTGAAAAATCTCTGTGATGTTGGCATTGTGCAGGTACGTAGAATACCACCATCTTCACTCGAATGTCTGATCCCTATCATGTACATGGTTGCGCACGGCTTCCTGACCTGCTTGCCTCTACTTGCAGCCGTACCCTCCAGTGTGCGATGTGAGGGGAAGCTATGTGTCACAATTTGAGCACACCATTTTGCTTCGACCAACATGTAAAGAAGTCATATCCAGAGGCGACGACTATTGATTGGCGCTGCAGCTCTCTTTGAATCCGTGCCCCGCGGTGATTAGTGTTTTACTATCTTGGGTGATCTATGATCATATGGATCAAATGACGCACGATAACAGACAAAAAATGTTTTGACATCTTTTATATTGCCCCCTTTTTTCCAGATTTTAGAGTTTCTAAGAACCGATACAATGTTGTATTCGACTTGATTCCTCTATAAATAATAGTCTATTATCTTGAAGAAGTTTATCATTAGCATGGAATGGAACAACTAAAAGTGAAGGTATTTCTGCGAAGCGCTGCACAAGCTGTTGACATAGTTTCTTCTGCTTACAGATCTATGTCTACTAGTACTAATCTGCAAGATAATAGTATACCAGTATTTAACAAGGATTACACATTTCAAATGAAATACCTGGTTACAAGTGGAGAAAGGAAAATATTGTTGGAAATATGCCCTAGAGGCAATAATAAAATGGTTATTATTGTATTTCCTTATTCATGATAATTGTCTATTGTTCATGTTATAATTGTATTAACTGGAAACCGTAATACATGTATGAATACATAGACCACAACATGTCCCTAGTGAGCCTCTAGTTGACTAGCTCGTTGATCAATAGATGGTTATGGTTTCCTGACCATGGACATTGGATGTCATTGATAACGGGATCACATCATTAGGAGAATGATGTGATGGACAAGACCCAATCCTAAGCATAGCACAAGATCGTGTAGTTCGTTTGCTAAGAGCTTTTCTAATGTCAAGTATCATTTCCTTAGACCATGAGATTGTGCAACTCCCGGATACCGTAGGAATGCTTTGGGTGTACCAAACGTCACAACGTAACTGGGTGGCTATAAAGGTGCACTACAGGTATCTCCGAAAGTGTCTGTTGGGTTGGCACGAATCGAGACTGGGATTTGTCACTCCGTATGACGGAGAGGTATCTCTGAGCCCACTCGGTGATGCATCATCATAATGAGCTCAATGTGACTAAGTAGTTAGTCACGGGATCATGCATTACGGAACGAGTAAAGTGACTTGCCGGTAACGAGATTGAACGAAGTATTGGGATACCGACAATCAAATCTCGGGCAAGTAACATACCGATTGACAAAGGGAATTGTATACGGGATTGATTGAATCCCCGACATCGTGGTTCATCCGATGAGATCATCGTGGAACATGTGGGAGCCAACATGGGTATCCAGATCCCGCTGTTGGTTATTGGTCGGAGAGATGTCTCGGTCATGTCTGCATGATTCCCGAACCCGTAGGGTCTACACACTTAATGTTCGATGACGCTAGAGTTATTATGGGAAATTATATGTGGTCACCGTAGGTTGTTCAGAGTCCTTGATGAGATCCCGGACATCACGAGGAGTTCCGGAATGGTCCGAAGGTGAAAATTTATGTATGGGGACTCCAGTTTCAGTCACCGGAATAGTTTCGGGGGTTATCGGTATTGTACCGGGACCATCGAAAGGTGTACGGAGGTCCACCAGGTGGGGCCACCTGCCGCGGGAGACTTGATGGGCTGAATATGGGAGGGAACCAGCCCCTAGTGGGCTGGTATGCCCCTCCCCAAGGGCCCAAGGCGCCTAGGGTTTTAAAACCCTAGGGGAGGGGGTGCCTCCACCTTGCTTGGGGGGCAAGCACTACTAGGAAAAGGGCTATAGATGGAAATGACACTAATGGCGCACCAGACTTGTGGTGCGCCATTAGTATATACTAATGGCGCACCACCTTCTGATGCGCCATTAGTGTTGAAACTACTAATGGCGCACCCTGCCCACGGTGCGCCATTAGTACCAATTTTTTTTTTGAACTAGTGCGCCTGTCCAAACATACTAATGGCGCATCCACTGGTGGTGCACCATTACTAGTTGTAACTAGTAATGGCGCACCAGCCAGAAGGTGCGCCACTAATGCTATTTTTTTATTATTGTTTTTATTCCTTTTTTTGCAAAAGTACTAATGGCGCACCACCAGGGGGTGCGCCATTAGTAACCTGGATTACTAATGGCGCATTTGTTGCTGGTGCGCCATTAGTAAGTGGGCAGCAACAAGATATTTTGGACAGCCTCTCCTCCCACACTCACTTTCTCCCCACTTCATTCTCTCCACCGCCTCCTCCTTGTCTCGGGTGCCTCCTCTTTTCACCTCATTTCCACCATAGATTCATTCAAATTAAGTGGTTAAGTTACCTTATTTTGCTAGGTAAGTAAGGGGGGAAGCTATATTTATGTTGTTCTCCCTACAACAATGTGCACATGCACTTTTTATGGCCTAGCTAGATCTATGTATGTTCGTGGTGTTGCATATGTTTGTGGTGTTGCATATGTGTTTGTGTTTGGAGGTGTACCGGTATTTGAAATGCGATAGTTGCCAATATTTTGCCGGAATGTTGATTCATTTCCGTTTCGGCGAGAATTTTGGCATTAAGCATTCTTTTTGGTCCTATTTTTAGGGAAAGTCATGCCAAATTTTTTCTTGGTTCTAAAATATCGTGTTGCTCTACCCCGCAGGCGACCATGGTCCGCACGATGACCGAAGGCATCGTGAATAGGTTTTTGAGGTCCGCGAAGGCCGAGATGCTTCAAAAGAACGAGACGGAGATAAGATGTCCGTGTCGAAGATGCAAGCTGAATAGCCTTATTGCGGACCCGGATTCCGGGCAGGTGCGGGACCACCTGCTCTTGCGTGGTTTCATGGATGGCTATCGGTGGCAAGGTGATGAAGACGACTACGAAGTCGTCCATGGGGGTCGGGCTAGAAATGAGGAAGGGAAGCAAGACAACCACCGCGGCTCGGGGGGGGGGGGGCGAGAAGACGAAGAATCCCCAGGAGATGATCACGACGGTGATGCTGTACACAATCATCATGTAGAAGATGCAGGACATGATGATGATGCCGGCGGAGCAGACGACGCTGGACCATCGATGGGCTGGGTGCAGGACCCTCATATTCAAGAGCTGCTTCTCAAGCAAACAGATAACGCAAGAGCTGCCGCCCGAGAGAAAGCCAAGATGGATCAACTTGAGTTAGACGCAGTTACTCCATTGTATGAAGGATGCAGGCCCGAGGATACCCGCCTGAAAGTAATGCTCATGGCTCTGGAGATGAAGGTAAAACACAAAATGACCGACGCATGCTTCGACGAGAACATGTCATTCTGGCACGAACGTCTTCCCAAGGGGAACAAGTGCCCGACCAGTTTGGAGGAGGCGAAGAAAATCGTGTGTCCTCTGGATTTACCGCACGTGAAATACCTTGTGTGCATGAACAATTGCATCATTTATCGGGACGAGCACGCGGAGTCTACCATATGTCCGGTGTGCGGTGTCACTCGATACAAGAAGAGGAAGAAAGCTCCTCGAAAAGTGGTGTGGTACTTTCCGATCACTCCTCGTCTGCAGCGGTATTTCGCGGACCCTAAGGTAGCAAAGCTCCTGCGTTGGCACGCGGATAGGGAGGAGAAGAAGCGAGAAGATGACGCAAATGATCCGGAGATAGATAAAAAAGACAAGATGCTGAGTCACCCTAAGGATGCGAGCCAGTGGCAAGCGTTGAACTTCGAATACCCAGAATTTGGGAACGATCCAAGGAACATCATGCTGGGCGCGAGCACCGATGGAGTCAATCCGTTTGGCAGCCAGAGAAGCACACATAGCACCTGGCCTGTGTTCGTGTGGATGTACAACCTTCCCCCCTGGTTGTGCATGAAGAGGAAGTACATTCACATGAGT